TTATTATAATGAAATATTTACCATCATCATCGACAATAATCACCGTAGCCTCATCGTAAGATTCTTGAACACCGGAGACATTCGCATTTAGCGTTAAAACAACGCTAAAGGTTTCGTTTCCTTCAAACTCGTCATCATCAAGTATTGGTATTGTATAGCAAGTAGATTCTTGAGAATCCGTTATGTTAACTACTTCACGAATACTGAGGTAATCGGCTCCTGTCACTGCGGCTCCACCATTAGTGGTTATCCTTAAGACGTTGAGTAAAAATAAAACGTGTCAAGTTGGCCATCGAAATATTTCACTTAAGTCTGAGATTACCAATACTAGAATTTTAACTTGCTTACTAATTAGTTAATAATATGTCTAATAAGAGATTTGCAACAATTTGCGTTGATATTGTCCAGAAATGTGAGGTGAATGTTGTGTTACAGACATATAAATAATGCTATATCTATGAAAAGGTGCGAATTGAGAGAGATATAATTATTACTTAAAATATAAAGAAGAACACTTCCACGTTCCGAGCGAAACCCATCGTCGGGAAATTAGTAGTCACTTTGTCTTGATTAAATCCATCCAATTGGTTTATTTTTTGTCACATGATCGCTGTATAATCACTAGTGTAAAAACTCATGTAATTTTCCCGCCCCCACTACTAACTTCCGATCCCAACGAAGAGCCTGCGCCTGAAATGCGGGATGTCTGCTTTTTAGGTAGTTTTATCTTTCTCAATCAGCAGACCGCAGCTGTCTATAGTTATCGTCGCCATACCTTCACTGGCAAAGACTGTTATGAAGAAATACAAAGAAAAACTTCAGAGTAGTTCTCATGCAAGTAAATGAAGAACATGAATTTACAAAAGAAAAAAAATATATGTACTTACCATCCACTAATGGGTTCTTGAGAATTTTTAACGTCTAAGCAAATTTCTACAGAACTGCTATCCTCAGTAACCGGATACAAGGAGTGCTCAAATCCAATTTTTGCGAGTTCTGCAACGAGGCATTAAATTTACGTAATGCACCATATGTAAACAGAATGAAATTGCTTACGGTTATTTTCTATACTCAGTCATGCCCCAGTACGTTTGTCGATGTTAAAATTTATACAACATCTACAGGTAAATGTCAAAATTCACACAAATGTGCCAGGCGCTGGAGCTCAGAAAAGGTTCTCATTTTATCTGCACAATGGCCAACGCAAGACAATGCGGGCTTGCTTTTTACGATTTTTCGTCAGGGACGGCGCTAGCCCAACTTTATTGGGAGGGGTGGGGAGGGGGTGTAAGTGAAATTTACCGAGGCATTTCCGCTGTATTCACAAATTTAAAATCTTCACGACATAATATTTTTCCTTGTATTTTTTGTTCACGTACCGTTTTTCTTTCAGTTTCCTTAACACTTTCCCACATTTCCCCAAAATGTAGCCACAATTATCAGTTTTAAATCAATTCCACTCAAATGTGACCTAATGGTGTAAAATAATGTGTGGTGTTCCACTCCGCCATCCCCACCCGTCCCAACCAGGGCGATTATATATTATATAAGCGCCCTGCTCTCAACCCCCCTCTTGCGCCGCCACTGTTTTTCATATTTTGTGTCTCGTAATTTTTATTTGTATAGCATTCTACCTGGCAGTCCTTGACACTGATATGAACCTGGCCAGTTTACACATTCCTGACCTCCAGAACATGCACAGGAAATCCGGCATTCATCAATATCTGCAAAAGTGCGAAATAAAATTAAATTTCATCATTCATATAACTGAGCGACATACACAAAACGTTATTTTAACAGTAAAGTGTTGTGTTCAGTGTTCTTCTTTAAATTAATAGTACAATCTTTCCTATCCAATGATCTATACACGTTACAATATGGGCTGTTCTTTGTATTTATATTTTTGTCAAGCCCCACCCAAAGAGCTTTACATTTTTTTGTGGGAAACGAGAACTACAAAAATCTTGGTGAACAATCCATTGTTTATAATATTCCCAGAAAGTATCATTCATTTCCTCAGTTGATCAAATTGTGAAGCATACGAATGTTGTCATCACTCGTCCTTCGTGCTCTTGCTATTTTGATGCTCGTTGAAAAACTAACTCGTGCATGTTTAATCCAAATTGCACTCAAAGCTTCCTATTTACTATGCACACGCATAACGAATAGTTTATTTCAGCGGCGTATTTTTAATGCTATATCCACAAAGGACCACTGATACAGAAAATGCTTTTCCTGTTGTGATCTCACTGCCAAAGCTCATTGATATTTGTACTTTACGTTTTTGAGATTTATTAGTATATATCCTTTGTAAATGTATCTTTTTGGCAAACATGTTGAATTAAGGCTATGTTTCCATTGTATCGGATCAGTTTTTGTTTCGTTCGCGAAAAGTTACGGCCCAAGTGTAAACAGCTTCCACCCCGCCCATCTATGCTGTCGTACTTTCTTCTATATATTATTAGAATAGTAAGTTGTTGTTTGCCAGATTCCATCTTGAGTCACGCATTGAACCGAAATTGCTCCGATTGGTGTTTACATTGCAATGAGAGCGTTGCAAAAACCGATCCGATACATCGCGCACCACTTCGAAGAGCGAACCGCCGCACCACCGGTTCGTTGCAGAAATTGAGACGATAACAACATTTCATATGTAAACAGAAGCCCTGTCCGGTATGGTTTTTGCGTCGGACGCAAAGTGATCCGATACAATGTAAACATAGCCTAATAATTTAGTACGCACATAACAAATGTCACAAAATTGCCTTCTATATACAACAAACCTGAACAAGTTTTTCCGTTTCCATAGTATCCACGTTTACAAAAGCAATCAATTGCACCATTAATCATATGTGCCTCTGCATTTTCATCGCAAGGACCCTCTGTTTTAAAGAAATATACTGACGACTCAAGAATTTGGTTTAACAATGTCCGTGAAGATATAGGTAACTTGCTTAAGATAATACAACCTTAAAATAACTTTTGACTAATTTCTTCTAAATGGCATACACCATAATCAAGACAATAGTGGGTGCGCAAAACTTTGCCTGTTGAGTGGATATATTGCAAGCTATAGTTTCTATAAAAGTTTAAAGAATTCTTCAGTACCTGGCTCCTGCGTTTCGCATGAATATGAACCTGGCCAGTTTACACACTCCTGTTCCTCAGAACATGCACAGGTGATTCTGCATTCATCAATATCTGTAAAAGTACGAAATAACAATTCATCATCTATATTATTTGAAATAATCTTTTTAACTTTCAACATTAAAGATATTAAAAAAAATCTAAAAACCATCTTGCCAAAATTATTATTGCTGTTATACAATACAAGCTCTTATTTAATTCACTGAATTTACACATGATGCACCGGCCACTATTGATTGTTCTTGCCAATCATATCTTGTGTTCCAAATTTCAACTCTTTCTATAGGTTCGTCACAAATTTATAGATTCAATAGTTTTGATTAGGAGGGCAGAAAGAAATTTGCCTGACTTTGTTGCGTTTTTCCCGACTGAATAGTAATCAAACGAATTTTTTTCTGCTAAACTACAAATTTCTGGTCCAGGAAGACGAGGCAAAAATTTTCGAATGGCTTAAAATTTTTTACCACAATACATAAATTATTTCTTCACATCAACTATTATCTTATAAACTTACGTTTAAAATTTTCCCAACTGGCAGCTCCCTCCCCCCCCCCTCCCCTCACCCATCTCGTACGCCAATGTTTACTTCTTTAATCATAAGCCCTCCTTTACTGACCATCATACTTATTAACATAATTATTATAGAAATAATAGCTTATTTCAGCTTCTTCTTTTCGACTTTATATAAAAAAAAGCCCACAGTTGTCCAAGGTATTGGAGGGAGCGGTTCTGTTGAGATGCCATACACTGCTATACCCATAGATATCTGATATAAACTAGATAGCGCATCTCTTTTAGTAAAATTTAAGACAAGAATATTGCAGCGGTTAGCCCCATTTGAATAGATGGCGGCCTTGTTGGAGTTTCCCACTCGCTAATAAACGCTTCAAAAACAATAACTTTCATCATTTGAATAGTTTGAACATGTATTTGGAATAGGTTTAACTTAATGTTTAAGTTCCCTGTTTAAGAAATAGAAAACATACGAGTCTTCTCACTTCATGGGAATATCCTGAGTCTGCAATCACGGCTTCAATTTTTGAATTGCAGAATAATTAGTGTAATAATAATTAGCACTATCTAGTGTATATAAGATATATGTGGCTATACCTCGTTGGTATATTTGTTGTTTGCATCTACAAACTTACCTGTACAAATTTTTCCATTTCCATAATATCCACGCTTGCAGAAGCAATCAACCACACCATTAATCTCATGTGCCTCGGCATTTTCATCGCAAAGATTCTCTGTTTTGAAGGAAATAGTTTTGAACTTGATTTATTACTGTCCGTGAAAATAGATATCTTGCTTTAAAATATACGAAGTCAACTCAAAAGTAGAACAAATAAGTTATTTAAAAAGTACAATTCTAACCAAGAAATAGAAAAGGAGTCGCATGCGTGATAATGGACGAGGGGAATGATGGGAGAATATATACGACAGAGGCGTGTTAATTTAAGGAACTCACCGAACTGTGGAATTGCATCAAAAATTCGTATCGCCGCCACACCCACAAATGTCTACGACCACACCTACATATTTTTGCAT